CCAGGGATGGTTACTGGAAGTGGAAGAAAGCAGCAGGAAGAGGAGGGGGGGATGAAGAGAGGGGGAGTAAACAGGTTGGGGGAGACATGGAGGTCTGAGGTGTGTGTGGCCTCTCTCTCTCTCTCTCTCTCTCTGTCTCTGTCTCTCTCTCCCTCTGTCACTCTCTGTCACTCTCTCACTGGGTGATGTAAGGGTGACCACTATGTTCCGTCATCACAGACTTTGATCTGCATCATCTCTGCCTGGTGGGTTTGCATCAATAATGTACTTGTGCCCATACACACACACACACACACGATACCCACAGGGAACACTGAGTACAAACCAGAGGTAGTGAAGTGAAATCCATTGAGTATGTGTGAGTGAGCCTACATGTCGCACGCTTGGTTACTCTTCTGTTCTATTGTGCTAGCTGCTGTTTTAGATCAGTGCTCAAGTGATCGTTATGTATTATGTATCGCCCACATGTGCTAAAGAAGCTCTCCAGGGTTATCCTCCGTCTGAAGAACATTCCCTGGAAACTGTCCTCGATCGAGAATATTGGACATAAACGCATCAGGTTGCCAGAAACATGTCTCCAAATGAATGCTAATGTTGTTTTGTGTCTGCAGGACGTGTTAGGGCCTGTGTCCACATAGCTTACCTATTATTACTTCATGAAGTAATTATTACTTCATGAAGTAATAATATGTCAACAATGTGTTTACAGCTTTTTCCACGGCCCCCAAGTCGCCAAAAAAGAAGCAATTAACGCAGGTTTGCATGAAAAAAAATAAAAAAGCTCACTTTATAAGCTACCAATCACTCTTAATTGTCCACAGTAATTATATATTCATTCACAATGACATACAAATGCAACATGTAGCATCTTTCAGTTGTCCTCCACATACAAATATCAAGACACCACCGACACATTTCACAGCCGGCCTTCCCTTTCGAACCGATCCTTTTAAGGGAAACACTCATTGCTCTACATGCATTGTGGAGGTATGCAGGAGTGTTTTTTTTTAATTCCTGAATCTTAAGCGAGGAATCAAAGAAAAACTCCTACAAAGCAACGGATGATTTATTTGAGAGGATTCAGGAAAGGGCTCTGACACACACACACACACACACACACACACACACACACTCAGAAAGAGTAATAGTTTAGGGATTGTAGCTACTCTTGCATCTCTCTTTCATTACCTGTGTCGCTCTTCCTCTTGCATTGGGCTGCCGCAGTTCATTTTCATAGTTATGACCAATACAGTGGAAAGAATGTAAATGAAGGAATGGCGTTTCCTTTCCTTGCAGCTCTCTCTCACTCTCTCACTCACACACACACACACACATCTTACATGCACAGCACGGTGAAGCTCCTTTTTCTTCAAAAAAGCCTGTGGCGCTGACAGGGTGGTGACCCTGTCTCATCTCTTGGACATGGGATCTTGGTTTTAGCCTAATTGGGCTGTGTTTGGATACGCAGTGTATCTGAAGGTCAGGAGCAGGAGCAGGATAAAACATGCGTACAAAGACAGAAAAGCACCTTTCCCTTAGACCTCCTTAATGTGACTGCACGTCGAGGCAGAGCTAATGTAGCCACACACTGAAGCCGTTGCCGGTTGAAAGCTTTTTTTGTGGCGCTGCAGCAGGCGTTATGTCACGACTCAAAGCAAAGAATTAATTTGGCTCTTTGGAGGCCCTCTCTGCTTCCCTTGATAGCTTCTCAAAACGAGGACAGCTGGTGAAGAAGGTCACTGAATGCTGTATTTTAAGAAAGGCAGAAGTGTGCGTGTGTGTGTCTGTGTCTGTGTGTGTGTGTGTGCATGTGGTTTGTTGACAGATGACAGGTCTTCAGAGATGAAGGACAGATTTAAAAGCTGGTTGGATAACCACTGCTGGTTGGAGTCCAAACAGAAACTGGACCACACACACACGTATATACTGCATGCATGCAACACACTGAATAAACAAGCAAATGTGCGATTTCTACCGTTGCTTTTGTGTGTTGGGTGCTGTTCAGTTTCGAAAACAACCATTATTTTCTGCCAGGTAGTTGGCTAGTGTTAAAGCGTCACAGTTGACCTTATTACGGTTTAAAATGTTGAGGCTTTTGAAAGAAATTTAAAAAAATTCTGTAAATCTGAATTTACATCCACTTTCCTGTATTCCAATCTCCTCACTGCCCTTAACTCTTAAGATGTCAGATGGAAGTTGTAGATGATAAAGTCATAAATTAGGGGAAGTCCTCCCTGGTTGTTCTCGAATCCATCTTTCTCTAAGATTTCTTTTGTAACTCCAGCTGTCCCCTTGGTGAAAGTAAAGGGCCGTCCTCATCGCTCAGCACCAAAGTTCTAACAGAAGACCGTCGGTGTTCACCTCGGAGCCGTTGATTACATGCAGATAGACACATGCGCACGTCTGAGATCTGCCTGGCGCCCCTTTGACTCATCTGCACCCATCCCCCTCCATCTCACTCCCACCTCCTTCACATGTGCCAGGGTGTCATCGGATGGGAGAAAGATGACAGCTTTAATCAGAGGGTGTTTGTGCCTCAGCAGG